CTGCATGCCTCAATTAAATGTTTATATGGGCAAAATTGTTTTATCTAAGCCTGTAATGTGTTCTCAGCTGAGTTTGTTAACGAAACCAAAAGAAAGAGAGGTTTTCATGGCCATGGCTTCATAAACCAAAGCTTTTCGTAAATCTGCATGTTGGACTGAAAGATGTGAATCTCCGAAGATAAAAGTTGCTTTTTTTTCTTTTTAGGTAACTGCAGCGGCTGGCAACAAAACACAACAACCCTTAGGATGCAAGGTAAGATATTTCAGTGGTTATTCGTAAAATTTTTTTATTTCTTGTTCTTATGGGAGATCCTTGAATTATGACTCAATTTAAGACTAAGCTGTAGCTGGAGGATATTTAAATCAAGATAACCTCGAACATGGCAGTAACAAAACATTTCTCGCTGAAAAAAAATATATCTAAGACTTCTGAGCTCAAAGTTTTGTAGAAATAACAAAAAAGAATGTTTTGAGTTATTTAAAAGAGTGCCATTTGGACTGATACCACGCTGGTTTGTTTATAGTTGTGTTTGGCGAGTTTTAGGTTAAAACAGCGGTTTAAAATCGCTAGGTGGATGATTAGATCAAATGACTTGAGGTATTTTCAATTTTAGGAAGATCTAACTCAGTTAGATTTCCCTAAATTGGATCTAAATTCCGATGGCAAAAGAGCGAGAACTTTGATGATATTGAATTAAGTAATGATCGATGCCAACCAATGAAAGTCAATGAATCGTATCCAACACATCGCTTAGAATTTGAGAGTTAAACGTTTTGGATCCACCAAAAACATCTTAATCAGTAAATTAATACTTATAGTGCCTCGCACCTTCATTGCTATCTAGCATTTAGAGAGAGTTTTATCCAACATCTATCTCACAGCTAAGAGACAAATATTTCTCGTTTTTTCAAATCCTTCTGGTATCTGAGAATTTGTGTTGGTGATGAATGGCTTATGCTCATTAATGAAAACTTTTCTCTGTGACTTACGACATTAATGAAGAAGTTTAATTTGCCTAAACCCATGATTTTCGCAGGTTAATCGTGATTCCTCAATAGNTCCTTTGTTGGGTGACATGTGTTTTCTTTTTTTGTGCCAGTTTTTCCCAGTCAAATGGTTTGATTTGGAATGCTGCCCCTCATCCTTCAATCTTGCAACTTTTGGATGCATTGTAATTCATGCCACCACACATGCTACATTTCTGTAATAGAATAATAAAATAACAAAAATTTCTATTTTCACATTACTGCTTTAAATCAAGTACAGGTGTACTACAAAACTAATTTTCTGTTCATGTGGCACTGAATCCTGCTATCTTGCTGCTCTAAGTCCAGAGTGCAAATGTGATCAGTAAATGTTGATAGAATGTTATAATTAAGTACAGTTAAAGATAGTTAAAGGTAAGTTTAAAACAGATCAATTAATAATTGATCTGCTTTAATATTATTTGGCAGAGAAAATTACATTTGAGGGATTCAATTGCAATATTTTTGGCCTAATAACAGACACTGTAGCCATAATGAATAATGAAGGTTTGTGAAAGTTATAGAAAAAATGGTTTCTCAGAAAACATTAAAAAAAGTTTTTTTAAAAAAACTTTAAACACATTATCATTATTAACAAGACTGTGCTCTTGCAGCGCCCAGTGGCCCCTGGCGCCTTACTTTTGCTCTTGGGTGACTCAGAAATTTTAGATTTTTCATACAAAGCATATGCTGGGCACCCGGGATTATACAGTTTCAGAACACTGGGTTCCATTCAATTTTCCTTAGAGCACAGCCTTGATTACTATCATTATCATGTTACTGGGTGAGTTTTAACTGAATGAAAAGATAATTTTTATTTCTTTTTATTTTTATTTAAATTTAATTGCTGCTAACACAAAATACATACAAACACAAAATTGCATGGTAAAAAACAGCTGTGCAATTGCTCTTTTTAGGAATTAACATACAGTGTAATGAAAAGATAAATGATACAATTAAAAAGCATGTTTCTTAAAATAAAAACCTAAAGTGAAAATTATATACTATTAATGACATATATTTGGCTCATATATGACACAACATTGTCATTTACAATAGTCTACAGAATATTTCAATAAAATTGCATTTAGATACAGAAAGATTTGTCTTTCTAACAGGAATTTAACATATAATCAGATTGCTCTTACCCTAGTTGTGACCATTTTAGTCACCCTACAGGAAGGCTATAATTTTGCAGTTATAGCAAATAAACTATAGATAATTTATAATAAATTTAGTATTCATTTGTGATCACAGGTGTAGCCTTTAAATACTCCACTCATAGGAACAAAGAGTGTGAGTGTGTGAGTGATTGTGATCACAGGTGATTAATAAATAGTTACATTCAGCAAATACAAATTTTCACTC